AAACCCTATACTCCAGTGCAGCCAACAGTTTCCGACTCCGATACTAACCCATGTCTAAGTTCAAGTGGGTTAGAAGAAAAGGCTGGTCTTTCTATAGTAGATACTCGGGCCGAACTTATGAAGTTTATCATGCCCAAGTATTCAAGTGCCAAAGAGGCTAACGCAGACCTTGAATTTCTAAATACGATCGCTGCTATCAAAGTCTCGATAGCTTTGATTGATTATACAGATGTTGTTGAGTCAGAATGGCACCAGACGTGCATCTTAATTGTAACTCGAATTATTAACATGATTGAATGTAAGAAGTTAATAATTGATTTGAGGTGTAACTTAGAGTACAGTTGTACGAACAAGCCCATTTATGATGCTAGTTTGCGTGAGGCGGAGAAAGTAGTCGGTCTTACTCCCAAACCACCATGTGCGCTCGTAGCTTGGGGCAACACTATCCTTTCAAATTGGGGTGCGAATGCTATCGCCATAAAGCAACAGTTTTCATCTATCCATCTCCACCCAATATATAAGCTTTCCCATCGCTTTGACAAACTATGTTTAACGAAAGACTTCAAGACGACTATATCCCTTAGCTCTACACAACCTAACGTTGACCTTCAATATCTCTCCTCAATTCCTACCAATTGTTCTGAAATCACAATTAAGGCCACCTATAAGCAGTGCCCATTAATAGTAGGCCTAGGGGATTGCACTAAACAGTACAAAGACATAAAATTGCTGATTAGTTGGGACAACCTTCGACGGCTGAGATGCCGCTCTAATGATAAATTCCATGTCCACACTATTATGGCCTCAGACGACACTTACCTTTATCTAGAAAGCTTTTCTTGTTCTGAACCACCAAACGACATTGAGTATCGTATCTTTGCTGACAAAATTGTTATTCCGGCAGATCATAGTTTTCCTTGTGGATTTTCTGGATCCTCTATCTATGATCGCATCAAATATACTTGTGCCGAACATAGTGTATTGGTTAAAACAGCCGAGATCTGCTATAAAAAGGGCCGAAAGGACTTTTCTGAGACTCTAAACATACTTGAGGCGATTGATGTCTTGCCTAGATCAGCAATAGCGCCCCATTTTGGTAATGTCTGTTGTGGTAATAGACTTAAAAATACCGAATATATAACGATTGAGGGGCCCGTCAATATTAAGCTTGTAGATTGGGATACGATTTGTGATATTAATAATATAAGAGAAGGTCTGTTTTTTTGCCAGCATATACACTACACCGAGATCAATATTGTTGGGAGCGGTCAATCTTGGGCTGGTGATTTTGATTCTCTCACTATCATTCAAGATCTATTCCGAGATATTACTGTCAAAAAGCTTACAATCAAAAATGTTCGTGAGGACCGCGAGATCAGTGAGTCCTACCCGCCTAAATTGGACAAGCCCAAAAAGACCCGATACAATATGAACGTTGATGTTTTGATACTGGATAATGTTAGTGATATTGTTATCTATTGGGTCTTGGGGAGTTATAACTTTGTTAAACCGGTAAAAATGCATATACTGAATTTGAACCGCAATAGCCGTGTTATTGATCAACTTCTCTCTGATCCGAAAGCCCGAAAGATTTCGGAGCTTGTGTTGGATGGCACAACATTGCACGCTGAATGTGAAGATCGCCCAGTTTGAAATAAAAACCCTCGCGTGTGAGACTTGGAAATTATCTTTATTGAGCCAAAGTACCAACCAAATGGGCCTCTTTTCTGTGTCTATGGCCAGGAATACAATCTTTCATCTGAATAGGCTCAACTAAAGATCGATTTAGAAGCGGACTGTGATATATTTTATTCGACTATATTCTCTCGAGAGTTTTAGATAAGCTTTTATAGATTAGATGGTGTTAGTGTTGGATTGGGTTGGATAGGGTTCATTGGCCAACACCGACTCTATTAAAGACATTTCTTGAGACGAGTTAGTATTGATTTGTTAAGTAAATATGGTTGTGTGAGAGGATGACGTCATATTGAATTGTAGCGTAGATATGTAAAACTAAATTAGTCAAAGCAGATTGACTCTATTAAAGTTGCAAGGCGTAATTAGCTTATCAGTAATCAGGTTGATCTTATGGGAGCTAAATAGTGGTCGTATGATAGCATTGTGTTAGTATTGGGTTAGTATTGGGCTGGATATGTTAAGAACAACACCAGCTGTAGCAGAGACCACACAAATAACTCAATATTTAGAAGGAGTATATGCCAAACCTTTATATCTATCTGTTCGCCAATAATATCGACTGTAAAAGAGGGCAAGCATGTTTACAGGCATGAATAACAGGTTATAATGGAATAGACCGGTAGAGTACCCAGACATAGTGCTTATCCCGCTGAAGATAGCTTTTATAGAGAGGCGGATAGACACCAGCCACCGACAGAAGTACTTGGATAGGATAAGCTGAGGTAGTAATTGGGTTCGTATAAAGGTAAAGGAGTTCTCTATTGGGTTAGTATTTGGGTTGGTATGGGGCTATGATAACAATACTAAGAATAGACGGAAATCTGGTACTAGCTTTTACTTGCCGGAGCCAGGAATTATACTACAGATGCTGGCACATACACTTGAGTAAAGAGGTGTACGTGTGGTTAGTATTGATTATTGTTAGGCATAGATCAAGATGAATTACTGCTAAACATCGATCCGAACAACATATTGCTAAGCAGTGGGTTGGTATTAGGTAGTGCAAATCAAGGCCTCTTGTTAACGATTATACTAAATCTGTTTATATCATAGAATATGATAAGAGATAAGAATTGGACAATAAAAGGAGATTTTGTTACTTTAAAGCACTTTCAGATAAGAAAGGAAGAGAGCGAAAGACCTGAAAGTATCTATCTCTCTTTTGGGTTGATAGCCACTTTCAAAACATTCGCAAACTAGTGCGAACTCGAGTTAGTATAGTTTGTCCGTGTATGTTTTAAACTAGTAGTTGTTAGATTTTCAAATAAAGCATCTTTATTGT